ACCGGGACTAGAACCCGGTGTGCTGGCGCTGCAAAGCGGAGGATTAGCCTATTGAGCCACGGTGCCAGCTTAACTTTTATTTAATGAATATAAATTTCCAAAGTATAGCTTATGGATTATAATCGCTTTTTCCCCTCCGTAACTTCCCTCCCAGCAGCAACCCTCCCCTCTCCCACACCCTCTCCCCTTCCAATCACATCAACATTCATGTAAAAGAAGTATTTATTTATTTATTTGTGTTTTTTTATTCTTTCTTTTTTTAAACATTTATTTAATGAATATAAATTTCCAAAGTACAGCTTATGGATACAATGGCTTCCCCCCCATAATGTCCCTCCCACCCGCAACCCTCCCCTTTCCCACTCCCTCTCCCCTTCCATTCACATCATGATTCATTTTCGATTCTCTTTATATACAGAAGGTCAGTTTAGCATATATTAAGTAAAGATTTCAACAGTTTGCTCCCACAGAGAAACATAAAGTGAAAAATACTGTTTGAGTACTAGTTATAGCATTAAATCTCAATGTACAGCACACTAAGGCCAAAGATCCTACATGAGGAGTAAGTGCACAGTGACTCCTATTGTTGACTTAACAAATTGACACTCTTTTTTATGGCATCAGTAATCACCCTAGGCTCTTGTCATGAGATGCCAAGGCTATGAAAGCCCCTTGAGTTCACCGACTCTGATCATATTTAGACAAGGCCATGGTCAAAGTGGAAGTTCTCTCCTCCCTTCAGAGAAAGGTACCTCCTTCTTTGATGATCCGTTCTTTCCACTGGGATCTCACTCGCGGAGATCTTTCATTTAGGTTTTTTTTTTTTTTCCCCCAGAGTGTCTTGGCTTTCCATGCTTAAAATACTCTCATGGGCCTCTCAGCTGGATCCACATGCCTTAAGGGCTGATTCTGAGGCCAGAGTGCTGTTTAGGACATCTGCCATTCTATGGGTCTGCTGTGTATCTCACTTCCCATGTTGGATCATTCTCTCCCATTTTTATTCTATCAGCTAGTATTTGCAGACACTATTGTTTATGTGATCCCTTTGGTTCTTAGTCCTATCATTATGATCAATTGTGAACAGAAATTGATCACTGGGACTAGTGAGATGGCATTGGTACATGCCACCTTGATGGGATTGAATTGGAATCCCCTGGTATGTTTCTAACTCTACCGTTTGAGGTAAGTCAGCTTGAGCATGTCCCAAATTGCACATCTCTTCCCTCTCTTATTCCCACTCTTATATTTAACAGTGATCACTTTTCAGTTAAGTTTCAGCACTTAAGTATAATTGTGTATTGATTATAGTATTCAACCAAAAGTATTAAGTAGAACAAACAAAAAAAAATACTAAGAGGGATAACATATTAAGTTGCTCATCAACAGTCAGGGTGAGGGCTGATCATGTCACCGTTTCTCCTAGTGTTCATTTCACTTTAACAGGTTTCCTTTTTGGTGCTCAGTTAGTTGTCACCTATCAGGGAGAACAAGTGGTATTTGTCCCTTTGGGATTGGCTTATTTCACTCAGCATAATGTTTTCCAAATTCCTAACAGGGATCACCTTTCAGTTAAAATTTAAAAACCTAAGAATAATTGTGTGTTAATTACAGAGTACAACCAATGGTACTAGAATAAAAAAAAATACTATAGTTGATAAAGTATTACACTCTACATCAACCGTCCTTTCACCTTACACAAAAATTCACTCAACATGGATTAAAGACTTAAATCTATGACCTGACACCATCAAATTATTAGAGAGCATTGGAAAAACCCTGCAAGATATAGGTACCGGCAATGACTTCTTGGAAAACACCTCAGAAGCACAGGCAGTCAAAACCAAAATCAACTATTGGGATTGCATCAAATTGAGAAGTTTCTGTACTGCAAAGGAAACAGGAAAGTGAAGAGGCAACCAACAGAATGGGAAAATATATTTGCAAACTATGCAACTGATAAAGGGTTGATAACCAGAATCTACAAAGAAATCAAGAAACTCCACAACATCAAAACAAACAACCCACTTAAGAGATGGGCCAGGGACCTCAATAGACAGTTTTCAAAAGAGGAAATCCAAATGGCCAACAGACACATGAAAAAATGTTCAAGATCACTAGCAATCATGGAAATGCAAACCAAAACCACAATGAGGTTTCACCTCACCCCAGTTAGAATGGCTCACATTCAGAAATCTACCAACAATAGATGCTGGAGAGGATGTGGGGAAAAAGGGACACTAACCCACTGTTGGTGGGAATGCAAATTGGTTAAGCCACTATGGAAGTCAGTCTGGAGATTCCTCAGAAACCTGAATATAACCCTACCATTCAACCCAGCCATCCCACTCCTTGGAATTTACCCAAAGGAAATGAAATTGGCAAACAAACAAGCTGTCTGCACATTAATGTTTATCGCAGCTCAATTCACAATAGCTAAGACCTGGAACCAACCCAAATGCCCATCAACAGTAGACTGGATAAAGAAATTATGGGACATATACTCTATCGAATACTATACAGCAGTCAAAAACAATGAAACCCGGTCATTTGCAACAAGATGGAGGAATTTGGAAAACATCATGCTGAGTGAATTAAGGCAGTCCCAAAGGGACAAATACCATATGTTCTCCCTGATCAGCAACAACTAACTGAGCAACAAAGGGGAAACTTGTTGAAGTGAAATGGACACTATGAGAAACAGTGACTTCAAGAAGTATTTATAAAGATGTCTCTGTTCTTTCCTCTTGGAAAGACAAGATCTGAAAGTTAAGAGTGGTGATAATTTGGTATATAAAATGTATGGCAAATTTCTATGATTAATGGTTGTCCCCATTCAGTTAGAATTTTTCTTAAATTTTATTTGAGGAATACGACTTCATGCATTTCATATATACAAATTTGGGAACATGGTGATTCTTCCCACCCTACATCCCACTCATACTTCCACCTTTCTCCTTCCTCACTCTACCATTCCCATTCTTATTTTTTTACAAATTAATCAGTTAATTTTATATACGTAAGATTAACAGTACACTAAGTAGAGAGTTCACCAAAATTGTGAAGAAAAAAGAAAAACAAACAAACGAAAAACATTGTTCTTCAACAGTCAAGACAAGGGCTATTCAAAACCATTACATCTTAAAGTGTCAGTTTCACTTAGTTACCACAGATTAGAGAGAACAGTATTTTTTTGTGTGTGTGTGTGTGACTGGCTTATTTCACTAAATATAATGTTTTCAGCTGCATCCGTTTTTTTTTTTTTTTGCAAATGACAAGATTTCATTTTTTACTGCTATGTAGTATTTCACAGTGTATAGATACTATAGTTTTTTTATTTTTATTTATTTTTTTATTTAATAAACGTGAATTTACAAAGTGCAACTTTTGTATTGTTGTGCCCCCCCAACCTCCCTCCCTCCCACGGCCCTCCCCTCTTCCAATCCCTCTCCCATCCTGCCCTTCATTAAGTTTCATTTTCAATTACCTTCATATACAGAAGATCAACTTAGTATGCACTAAGCAAGGATTTCAACAGGCTGCACACATACAACTGCACAAGGTATAGGGCATTGTTCGACTAGTAGTGTTGTTTTTAAGTTTCATAGTAAAACACATTAAGGACAGAGATCCTACATGGGGAGCCTGTACTCAGTGACTCCGGTTGTTGATTTAACAATTGGCATTCTTATTTATGACATCAGCAATCACCCGAGACTCTTGCTATGAGCTGTCTAGGCTATGGAAGCCCCTAGAGTTCACCAACTCTGAACTTGTTTAGTCAAGGCCATATCACAGTGGAGGTTCCTTCCTCCCTTCAGAGAAAGGTACCTCCCTCATTGATGGCCTGTTCCTTCTGCTGGGGTCTTGTTCACCAGGATCTTTCATATAGATTGTTTTTTGCTACCGTGTTATGGCTTCCCATGCCTGTGAGACTCTCACGGACCTTTTAGCTAGATCCGAATGTCCCAAGGGTTGATTCTGAGGCAGGAGTGCTATTTTGGGCATTTGCCATTCTGTGAGTCTGCTGTGTGTATAGACTTATTTTTATTATTCTATTTTTATTAAAGAGGAGGGAGTAAAGTATTATTGGTCAGTGCCCATGGTGCTTAATGTGGAATCTGGAGGTGGAGATGGTGTTTTCTTACTTATATATAGTTTATGATTTCCAATTATCGCCAAGAAGTAAACACTAGAATTAGGTCTAGGCTGTGGATCTGGCTGGTATGCCTCTGTTTTAAATTTCATCTCACATCTGTTTAGCATCAAGATTTCCAGTTTTCCAAGGCTGGCCACAAACTTAAACCAATTGTTAGAAGAAAAGATACAGTAGTGGTAACGATGATGCTAAATGAATCATTTGTGTGATATCTGACACCTCATCATCTAGTTGAAATAGCTTTTGTTTTCTTGTTTACTGGAATGAAAATAATTCTGACTTACCGAAACTATACATTTGCATTCCTTCCACATATGAGACATTCTATTTCTGAATCACTGGGCTTCTAAAATTCTGTGGGTAGGGGCTAGTGTAGTGGTGCAGGGGGTTAAGCCACCACCTGCAATGCCAGCATCCCATACTTGTTTTCTTTCTGTAATGCAGTAGTTAAAAACAACCACCACTCCCAATGCATGAGTCGTGTGAAAGCAATTTCACTTTATTTAACACTCTCAGGAGAAAAAGCAGATGAGTATATATGGTACCTAAAGAGAAAAACTCTGTCAAATTTTAAATGGAATGGTGGAATAAATTCCATGACAAAAGTGAAACAAACAATCGACCTGTGGTCCCCCTGCACTGGAGCACTGGAGCCTGGCCTCGCTTCCTACTTGGGACTGACAGCAAGAGCTCAGGAGAAGCCTGGAGCCATATGCCCTGTGCAGGCCCGTGCAGGCTTGGTCTTTGTTTTCTGATTGGACAATCAGAACTAATGCATGCCATTGAATTCTGAGTTTATGAAAAGGGTGCTCAGTGCTGCTGTTTCGCTTTTCTTGGTGTCCAGCATTATGGAGTTCTTCATTGGAATGTGTGCTAAGCCGTGGCACTAAGAATAAGGAGGTGAGCAGCCAAGAACAACACTGCAGGAAGGGCCGGACTGCTGGTGTTGGGGAGTGGCAGTGGATTCAACAGGACCCTCAGGTTTGACCATCCTCACCTGGTGAGTCTTCTTGAAATGTTTGTGCGTATCATATGCCGGTCCTGGACACAGGCAGGGGACACATGGGGCTTCAGAAGCCAGGGGGAAGGAAGAAAAATTGTGTATTATATTGTACGTTATAAATTAAATACTATATTTTATATTATAAATTTTTATTATGTAAGTTTCATATCATATGTTCTAAATAGATTTTAAATTGTGTTTTGTAAAACGTACATGTGCTCGGAGGTATCATGTACAGTTCCAGGAGGTGTGAGCCTACCTGGCTGAATTCTGATGCCAGGATGGGCGAACCAGCAGGTGAGTCATCTTTTGGGTGGGCAATTAAGATGCCCAGTGACTGTGTTAATTTCCAGGTCTCTTGTTTTATTTTCTGGGTTTATAGTTCTACTTAGTGTATAGGAGCTGAGAAAATGGATCTGGTCATCCAGAAAGGAAGTTCCTGCTCGCAGGATTTGCTTCCTGTTTTTCCTAATTTGCTAAGATAATTTATCTCAATTTGCATTGAAGGTTCTGCCACACAGCAGTGATAGCATTGAGTGGTAAACCCAAAAAGATGGTTGTATATTGTTATTGTTGCCCCACTGAAATCTGATTCTGCCTCTGTGCTATCCAGTGTTTCCCTAATTTTTTGAAAAAGTTCCTGAGGATTACATTGTTATATTGTGTTAATGAATGTGGTTATGTGGGGAGACATATCATGTAAAATTTACATGTCCCAGTCATATTATTGCATTGACTAGGAGTATGGGGACTCTGTTTATCATCAGAAGCACCTAGATCAGAGGATGGCACCAAAATTTTTAGAAGTCAGCATTACTTCCTAAGTATATTTGTTGCAGTTATAAAACTATAAGGTTCTGAATAACTCAGTACAGGTTCTTTTACTTCTAAATTAGATTTTGAAATATGAAGTATTGAAATCATTTGGATTATGATATGTCGCTCCCCATCTTCGTGGAGGAACGACACAGGACCCTGCGTTGTTCTTTCGTCTGCTCAGCCCTCCCTGGGTTTGCTGCTGGTTCTTCCCGGGTTGGCTACCGTCCCTTCCACCTCCATGGAAGGGCGGTTCCCCCTGCCACTTTCCCCACTTCCGCGGGGGAGTGGCACACCGCCGGCCGGCTCTCTCGGGGGCTGCACAGGTGTTCCTTCAGATAGATGTTCCTCTTAGATGTTCCTGGTGCATGCCGTCTCTCTCCTCCTTTATAGTCCTCTTCCACCAATCCCAACTCCGCTACCCACACGCTGAGTACGCTGCTCTCCTCCAATCAGGAGCAGGTCCTACAGTTTATTGGTTGAACTGGAGGCAGCTATGTAGAAGCTGTTTCCTCCTCTCCCAGCGCCATATTGTGGGAGAGCAGATGCATAGAATAAGTCTTAATTCCAGTAACAGTCTAGTCTGAGTTGCTCCCCACAATGATATGTTTAGAGAATTTTTAGGTCTGAGAAGGCAGGGGCATTGTTTCAGTACAGTATCCACAATGGTTGCCACGTAATTGGTTCTAAAATTTCAGTTGATGAAATGAAATCCCTATTTGTCCCTGTGTTTTAAACAACACAAAATTTAAAAATCCATAGGTATTGTGTTTTGTGGTTTGGTTCTTACAGTATGTGGTGAATTATGTCTCCCTTCCTTCTGGTTAGCAGTTACTAGTGTTGGCACCCAAGGGTCATTCCTTGAACCTCATCTTATGAGATGCTGACCAGTGACTACTCAGAAACCACCCCTTGGTGCAAGTCCTCATGGATGTTCCAGTTTCCTCATTATCCACTCTTGGTGTTCCTTTTAGTCCTGATTGTTCAAATCTAGAAGTTGAAATGACTCCATATTAAGTCTAACTGTTGTTCACACTGTTCTCATCCTAGATAGCCTTATCTCTATACCGTGTTTCAGGAAGGCCTTGGCTTTTTCTCCCATCATTAGCTAGACCTGTTTATATTGCCTATGGTTTTCTCCTTTTGGCTATTTTCAAACTTGATTCCTTGATTCCATAATTCCTTTCCCTCACACACAACACACCAAGAAAAATCTGTTCTTTTGTTTTCTCATGCTCCCAATCCACAGATGTTCTCTGATAACAATCACCAGGCATCTCAAAGGCTGGCTGGTCCCTACACCCTTCTCAAAGCCACAGGAATGTGTGATTCTTTTGCTTTTTGCTTTTATGTCTCAATTCCGTCACCTTTTCCACACCTCTGCTCCTGTGACCACCATTAAACTTTAGCATCTCCCACAAAAATCCTAGGCTAGCAATTTCTAGTGTACTACTAAGAAGTTGTTAAAATATAGAAGCTTTCTGGGGAAATTCCAAAATTAGAGTGGTTTATGCCAAACATCTTAAGATGCTTTTCCTCTGTTTAACGAAAGTCACATATGTGGGGGAAAACTAGATGGAGAGTTTGCTACAAACAATGCCTTTGTTTCACCTTTATACAATTTTGTTTGTGAGTTATGTAGGCCTCAGTGATTATGAATGGGAAAACTAAAACTGACTTGCAGTTCAACATTGGAAATATTTTGAAGCTTTCTACTGAAGTGCTGTAGTGTGAGAACAGGCATGGAGTCCAGGAGATCCTTCAATGGATTGGTATATGTGTAGTTTTCAGAATGCTGCTTTCAAAGACATTTAAACTTTGTAAGCATTATCTTACATATGATGTTAAATTTCAAATTGCTGCTTCAGCAAACATTGAGCTTTATGTGATTGGTAACCTCTCCTACACTAATGAATCTCCTTGCTTGATTTCCTCCCTGATTACTGTGGAAGATTGTCGCGTCCCTCAACCAGCAAAGAAGACACAACCCGAACTCTTCTTCAAGCAGTTTATTCAGGAACCTTGAACAAGCTTCTTCTTCCGCCTCCTTCCCTCTCCCATCCCTCTTATAGCCATCAGCACACCAATCAAAAGCAGCCAAGTGGCAAGGATTGATAGGTACAGCAATGTGGAAGCCAGAAGGGAGCTCAACCATCTTATTAGGAGTTGTTTGTTTCTCGCCAGTCCTTCCAGGAGAAAGGAGCCGGCGCCATCTTTAGGGCACAGTGCAATGGCTCCCCACAGTTCCCCCTTTTTGTTTTAGAACCAGGCATCTAAGGATTACAGGAGAAGGTAGGGGTTTGTCCCCCACTGCCAGGCATCCACCTGGAACAGCATCCTTTTCGCGGGGGTGGGATCTGGGATGCCAACCCACATGCAGACAGACTTGCCTTCCAGAGAACGTAATGGCTCGTTCTCTCTGCAGTGCTTTGCCTCGCACCCTGCACCCATGCCTAGCATTCAAGGAAGGCCAGCCATGCTTGAGGCGATTGTCCAGCCTCAAGGGCATAAAAGGCTTGAGCTATCATGGCCAATTCCCGCCGATGAGCTGTCCTCATCCTGCACAAACACCACAGGCAAAATAACACAACAAGTAACAGCAACCCCGTCAAAGCTCCAAGTCCCGCCCACTCCTTCAGGTTGGAGATGGCTGTGCGGATCCAGGATGACAATCCAGATGGGAAGGAGACATCCACACGTGTGGAGTTGATGGTGACCACAGCAAGGCGCAGTTGCTTCAAGGTGTAGTCAAATTCTGCGGACCAATTCTGCAAGAGCATCTGAGACAACTGTTTAGAGTAATTTGCTTCCTGAGTCATGTTATCGTACTGAACAGAGGTCACACACAACCCTGAAAATTTCCACTCACATCCTAGCTGAGCAAGCTGCCAGAGTATCCACCTGCTCCTGTACCAAATCCACACGCTGATTAACAATCATCAAGCCTCCCTTTATTTGTGCATTTAAGGATGTCTGAGTATCCAAAGCAGCAGCCACAGAGGCCGTTAAATTATTCAGGGTATTAGCAGTTTGAATTGTCCCTGTGAGCGCTATAGCAGCTGTTATAGCGCCCACAGCTGCAATGGAAATGGCAGTTATAATGGCTGCAGTAATGATCCCAATCAGCAATGTTATCATAATGAAGATTGAGGGGCTGCTTTGTGACATTGTCTGTTTGCCGCACCAGTCGCTCAGGTAACCATCGAGAATATAGAAACATGTCCACGTCCCCATATTAAAACAGGGTCAGGTCCATACCATTGAGCAGTTAGAGGGTCTTTCCACTTCACATAGACTTGTTGTCTTTTGGTTTCAGGATGCCAGTGACGATCAGCTGCAGTTTTCCCTTGATTATCCAGTATTAGAGAATTTAAAATGAAAAGAGCATGTGATAGCCATTTTTGTGGGGAATATGCCATGGTCCCGTATTCCCCCTTTTTTATTTTTTGTAAATAATTTTTTAATGTGGCATGTGCTCGTTCCACAATACCTTGTCCCTGGGGATTATAAGGAATCCTGGTGATGAGAGATGTGGAAGTTAGTACAGAAGTGCTTAAAAGAGTTGGAAGTATATGCTGGGCCATTATTAGTTTTTATCTGTATAGGGGTTCCTAGAACAGCAAAGGCCTGAAGGCAATGAGAGATGTTTGGCAGCCTCGCCGCATTGCGGGGTGGCAAAAACAAAACCTGAACATGTATCTAAAGAAACATGTATGTATTTTAGTTTACCAAATTCAGAAAAATGGGTAACATCCATCTGCCAAAGCTGATTAGGCATAAAACCTCTAGGATTTACACCATAATAAGGGACCGGGAGAAATGTGACACAGGAAGGGCAGGATTTTACAATTTGCCTTGCCTGTTCCGGGTGATTCAGTATCTTACTGGTAAGGTTTGGACATTGAGGTGATGCAAATCATGACCATGGGATGCTTCTTAGACTTTGTCAGTCCCTCTTTAAAGGATCTGGCTTCTGAGCCAGAGACTGGAGCAGCTAGAAAGAAACTCGTTTATAACTGAAGTTTAGCATCATTTCACATCTTGGCACCACTTTTAATCTAAACAGCCCGATTGGTTATTATCTCTGCAAGATGAGAGATATATCTTTTGACATCTCCAGGGGCCCTCTGGAGATACCAAAAGTCCAGAGAATTTAGAACTTTGCTTTTCAGAAAGTCTGTTAAAGGTGCCAAGAGAACTTAGAGTATCTGGTCAAAATAGAATTCCTTAGCATTTAGTCAGGGCGATTTTAACACTTTTAGACCAGATCTGATCATAATAATATTCAGCATAACTTTTTAAGACTTAATACTTTTTATCAATCATAACTTAATAGACAGTAGTGTTAAAAAGAGACGTTACAGTTTTTGCAACAACAGATTTTAAGATTTACAATTGAGACCATTTCCAGATAATTACTAACATTAGTACACATTTTTTTTTTAACTTTTATTTAATGAATATACGTTTCCAAAGTACGAATAATGGATTACTATGGCTTCCCCCCCATACCGTCCCTCCCACCCACAACCCTCCCCTTTCCCACTCCCTCTCCCCTTCCATTCACATCAAGATTCATTTTCGATTATCTTAATATACAGAAGATCAGCTTAGTATACATTAAGTAAGGATTTCAACAGTTTGCTCCCACACAGAAACATAAAGTGAAAAATAATAGATGATTTTTTTTAATGATGATGAAATCAGATCAGACCTATTGTCATGTTTAATCCCAGTGAGAGTCAAGTTGGGTGTTGATAGTTTCTTTTTTTTTTTTTTTTTTACAGAGGATCAGTTTAGTATGCATTAAGTAAAGATTTCAACAGTTTGCACCCCCATAGAAACACAAAGTGAAATATATTATTTGAGTACTCGTTATAGCATTAAATCTCAATGCACAGCACATTAAGGACAGAGATCCTACATGAGGAGTAAGTGCACAGTGACTCCTGTTGTTGACTTTACCAATTGACACTCCTGTCTATGGCATCAGTAATCTCCCTATGCTCCAGTCATGAGTTTCCAAGGCTATGGAAGCCCCTTGAGTTCTCTGACTCTTATCTTGTTTAGACAAGGTCATAGTCAAAGTGGAGGTTCTCTCCTCCCTTCAGAGAAAGGTACCTCCTTCTTTGAAGACCTGTTCTTTCCACTGGGATCTCACTCACAGAGATCTTTTGCCAGAGTGTCTTGGCTTTCCATGCCTGAAATACTCTCATGGGCTTTTCAGCCAGATCTGAATGCCTTTAGGGCTGATTCTGAGGCCAGAGTGCTATTTAGGGCATCTGCCATTCTATGAGTCTGCTGAGTATCTCACTTCCCATGTTGGATCACTCTCCCCTTTATTTATTCTATCGGTTAGTGTTAGCAGGTACTAGACTTGCTTATGTGCTCCCTTTGACTCTTAGTCCTTTCATTATGATCAATTGCGAACTGAAATTGATCACTTGGACTAGTGAGATGGCATTGGTACATGCCACCTTGATGGGATTAAATTGGAGTCCCCTGGTATGTTTCTAACTCTACCATTTGGGGCAAGTCAGCTTGAGCATGTCCCAAATTATATATCTCTTCCCTCTCTTATTCCTACTCTTATGTTTAACAGGGATCACATTTCAGTTAAATTTCAACACTTAAGAATAACTGTGTGATAATTACAGAATTAAATCAGTCATATTAAGTAGAACAGACAAAAAAACTACTAAGAGGGATAATGTATTAAGTTGTTCATTAACAGTCAGGGCTGTTAAAAAAATTTTAAAAAATTTTAAAAAATCCCATTGTTATAACAGAAGATCAGACTTCAACTTTAGGTTAGTGTAATTTTGGCATTAACATTTAACTTATAGAAAATTCTGTAAACAATGTTTTAAAATCGTAAACTTTTTACAACTTTTCATGACTTGCTCACACCTTCTGAAACTTTATACCTGTAGTTACTTTTACAGTCTTGAATTATCATGTATGGACAACCTATGAGAATACATGCTGGCAAACTTAAAAGTCTCTCTTATCAAATTTAAGATGTTAAAAGTACACATAATACATTTTCCATATTTTACTTAGCACCGATGCCTGGATAACTTAAAACACTGAGCTATTAATGAATACCACACCATTATCTGAATTAAAAGTCAAAATTACATTTCCATGCTTTTAAGTAACATAAGGATAACACCACTTGGGCAGCAACAGTCACTAGTGCATATTTACAACTTTGAAAAGATCTTCATCCTTAAGAGAAACAAGTTTAAAGCATATCAAAGACATGTAAATGTAAAACTGAGCACGTGAACCAAAGGGCATTTGCATTAACCCAATTTTCTGAACCAATCTGTATTGGCTTACTTGAGTTAACAACATAAAGGCTTGTATACACAGAATTTACTCTCATTTTTATAAGACTACTCTAGCTGAAAAGCAAAAACATGAAGACAACATAGATTTGACATCATTTACTACATTTTAATATACTTTGTATAATTTGAATTGACTCAAACAGCTGTTACTTTAACAAATTTAGAGTCCCATCCTTTGAGAGTTCCAGGGATCCGTCTGGAAGCCCCAAAGTTGAAAGACTCGGTTTAGAATTTAAACTATCAGAGAGTCAAACCATTTTAGTCAAAAATTAGTACGTTTAACCAAGGCTGTGGACTAGATCTAATCAGAGTTAGGTAATCACTCAAACATTAAAGATATAATGTAAACAGCTTCATGGTGCAGTTTTTCCAATCAAGACTCATACTGGCAATAGAAAAATGCGAAACCTTCAAGACACATGAAAACTCTCATTAGATAAGTTAGCTACAGCAGCACAGAAAAGAATTGATTATCAGCGTATGAGCCCATTGCTTAAGTTTTTATTAACTGTAAAGAGAAAAACCCATCAAGTTGGAAAGGGTTATCGAATTAAGACTTTTCTCTAGGTCAAGATACCTGTGGAATTTTTCCTCTCTCTTTCTCCTGGCCTGTCACGTCCCCCTTTTTGTTTTAAAAGATATTCTTTCAGTGTGCGGTGTGCTCGCTCAATTATGCCCTGGCCCTGAGGATTGTACGGCAATCCATGGACAAGTTGAACCTCCATTTTTTGGCAAAAGGTGGTAAAGGTTTGAGATGTATAGGCCGGGCCATTATCAGTTTTTAGCACCTGGGGTCTCCCCCAGGCGGCCCATGCATCCAGACAATGAGCAATCACCTGACGTTAGGGATGCAATTGGGCTAGAAGGTTTAATCGGTCCTGCGGTTTCCAATATCTTTAATGCGTTCACCACATATAAGGAATCTGACAACAAGTTAAAGGCAAAAGAGCACTGCTTAAGGACTTTAATAACTATTTTTAATTCCACAACTTGAGGTGAGCCTGGCTGAAACTGATGAAATACTGGGTCATTACCCTCTACCATATAAACCCCACAGCCTGTTTTTGACCCATCCGTAAATATATTTGGAGCACCTGGTAATGGCTCAGCGGCTGTAATTTTTGGAAATCCTCATTTGCCGATTGAATTCCCGTACTTGCTTTATACCAGACACTTTGTTATCGCCACACTCTTCAGACTCACTGCTGCTTTCTGAGCTACTTTCTGCACTAGTACTACTTACTAAGGAGGGGCTGCGCAACTCGGAAAGATCAGGGTACAGTTTTTTCCTAGTTGTTTTCTGACTCTCCTTCAAAGTTTTCCCTTTTTCACTGGCAGCTCTCTCGGAGTGCTCTTCCTGAAGCTCCTCCAAGGCAGCTTGACCGCTCAGAATAGTTTCACTATACCGCTCATCCTCGAGGCATGCTCGCACTAACTTCCATATTGGTCTCACTCCCCTTTCGAGATTACCCTGTTCGAATGCAAAATCCAAATCCCTGCCTAGTTTGTCCCATGAAGGGATAGTAAGGCTTCCCGAAACCCCATACCAGGGTGCAATGGTATCGCAGTTACGTAAAAACCTATGCAATGTACTAGGCTTAAGTTTCAAACCGTTTTCTCAAAGCAGCGCATTCAGTGCCAGAAAAATTTGATGGGACTGTGAATTACCCATCGTCAAAAATTGTACTCTTTCCCTGGCCACGGGTCAGAGCTCCTTCTGCTTTTGTCGCAGAACTTCCTCTGCTTTAATCGCAGAGCTATCCTCCCACTATTGTCGCAGGACTACCCGCTCTTATCGCGGATCCCCACCTTATTTTCCTGGGGGACTTACCAGCGCTGCCCTGACTGCAGGAAGTTCTGAGTTCGCGTTTGAGATGGTTCCCCGTACGGGCCACCAGTTGTCGCGTCCCTCGACCAGCAAGGAAGACACAACCCGAACTCTTCTTCAAGCAGTTTATTCAGGAACTTTGAACAAGCTTCTTCTTCTGCCTCCTTCCCTCTCCCATCCCTCTTATAGCCATCAGCACACCAATCAAAAGCAGCCAAGTGGGAAGGATTGATAGGTACAGCAATGTGGAAGCCAGAAGGGAGCTCAGCCATCTCCTTATTAGGAGTTGTTTGTTTCTCGCCAGTCCTTCCGGGAGAAAGGAGCCGGCGCCGTCTTTAGGGCGCGGTGCAATGGCTCCCCACAGAAGATGGCATGTGAGTGTCAAATGGGGAAAGAAAGGTTGTTTGAAGATTAATTTATGTATTTGAAAGGCAGAGCTATACAGAGGTTGGGGCAGAGAGAGAGAAAGAGAGAAGTCTTCTATTTACTGGTTCACTCCCCATAGGGCTGCAATGGCCAGAGCTGAACTGATATGTAGCCAGGAGCCCGGAGCTTCTTCTGGGTCTCTCACGTGGGTGCAGGGGCCCAAGCACTTGGGCCATCTTCCTCTTTCCTAGGCCATATCACAGAGCTGGATTGGAAGTGGAGCAGTGGGGACTCAAACAAGCGCTCTTATGAGACGCTGGCACTGCAGGCAGAAGCTTTTCCTGCTCTGCCACAGTGCCTTCCCCAAGAAATATTCTTGTGATAGACTAATGTTCATGGTGTATAGCCCTCTGCTCTATGCAGGTGGAATTTGAGTAATTCTTGGCAGACCCCTACATTTTGAGGTACATAGAAATAACATGATAAATGTAATGAGATGCACAGTTTTCCAGCAGAATACCTCATGATATCTGCTGGGGTCCTGCCATTTATGAAAATGGGTTGTAAAGCAACCTGATCAGTGAAGACATTGCCACCTATTGATCCAGTGAAGCAAGTGCAGAGTGAGCACCTCTAACCCTGGCAGAGGCTCCACCCCTGGTGACTAAGATGCTGTAGACCTGTGCTGCTACTCATTCCACGGGGAAGGCCCTGCCATACTGCTGTGAGCATCCTGGTTTAATATTTTGATATTGTCATGTTTTGGTTTGTTCTTCAACTTAAATACAAGGAATCTCCATTTGGTTTGTATATTTCATCTTGCAGTTTTCACAGCTAAATTTTTTAAGTAATTTTTATTTATTTAAAGGTGAACAGATATCATGTATTTCATATACAGAGATTGAGGAGTGTAGTGATACTTCCCACCTTTTCTTCCTCCCCCCCAGCATCCTGCCCTCCTTCCTCCTTCCTTTCTTGTGATTATAAAATGAACTGAAAGAATGTCATTGTGAAAATTATAGGAAAGTGTAAATTCTAAACCTTGACCGAACTAACTCCATAATGTGTAGTCCCCAGTATGATCTCAAAATGCAGATTGTGTTGTTTAAAAATTGTCATGCATTTAAATATGGAAACCCTAGGAATTTAGGTTGAGTTTAGGTGAGAAACTACCATGGTGCCTCCCCAAACGTGTGTTCTCTAAACATAATGTGCCCACAACCAAGTATTGCTTTGAACCAAAGGCCACTGTGGTCACCAGTGATGGGAAATGGAAGGCTTTTTAGGGCAGTGAACCTGAGGGCTGTGACCAAGACCTGTCCCAGTGAGTCAGTGAGAGCTCAGACTGTGCACTTGCCCCATCTTCCTATCAGACTTCATTTACAAAGCACAAATTCAAGTTAAATCCAGTAGGAATTTGGACAGCAGGGAGTGTACTCTTTAGAGTTGGGTCCAGTTGCAGTGTCACTGGTCACATACTGATGAAGCGGGCCCTGCATTTTCAGTTCCATAGTGTAATTGGGCTAACTCTCAACCTGCCTGTAATATGTAACTGTGTTGTATGCACATAGGAATGTACACACCTTGGTGGGCGTATAGCATGTATTAATTTATAATTCTCATTTCACTTTTCACTTTCCTGGTTTCCTTCAGATTCACTTCCTTTCCTTTTCTATTTCTGAGTTTTCAGTTTGAGGGAGGTGAGATGGCAGTGTAATATGTTACTTGGATATTGTCTTAAATATTCTCTTGATAGACTTCCTGAATCTTTATTTTCAAGATATAAACCGCCTGAAATTTAGTTTAGTCAAGTTAATGAATTTTTTTT